ACTCGGGACCTTTTGCCCTTCAGGCAGGCAGTGGAACCACTGAGCTAAATCCCTGGCTCTCAGGCACTTCTTCAAAAAGTCTCATCTAGGAGGCAGTGTGGGTCCACATCTGCATTACTGGCCATGGTAGGCTTTAGACCAAAGTGCTTGAGACCAAGTCTTTTTGCTAAACATAAATAGCAAGTTATTCTTTCCAAGTACCCATAATATTCCTAGTCAAAAGTACACCCCACAGAAATGGCACCAGCATAAGTCATATTGTCAGGAAAACTTACTGCAAATTAGGTGAGAAATGCACATTTTATGGGCTCCTGGAAAAACGAAGCCCTTGAGCCAAAGGCAGAGCCAAGTGGTTGTGGAGGGACCCTATTCCCCATTTCACCAAGGGGCATGGATTCAACTCCAGCAGCAGTGTGGAGCACATCCGTGGCTCAAACAGCAAAGGACGAAGGCTCGAGGATGACGTGGTCTCCTTACCCAGCAATTTATAGTCTCACTTCACTGCATTTCACTGGGAAACTCCCAGTTGTCATGCCAGATAATAACAGGATCCCCAACTCGGTTTTTGCCCTCTCAATACCATCCCATCCCTGCATCAGAGCCAAGCAAACAGCCATAACTGATCGAGCTCAGACAACCGTCCAAAGAATTACAAGCTAAGAAATTGTCCTCCATGTGATATTTGCTTGATTATTTAAAAAAAACAAAACAAAACCGGCCATCAGTGGCTGTTTCCACTCTAAATATTCATGAGTGAGGGCTCTTCTCATTGATTTAAGGCTCTTCGGGGTCACTGAAGTGTCATTTGGAAAATTACTTCCTGATGCACAATGCGGCCATAAGGATCCCCTAAAGCCCGCTGTAAATGCTCTTCCACAAAAGTCAGAGATTTGTTTTCTTCCAAGCACTGTTTTAAAACAAAAAGCAACCAGAGGTACAAAGAGCACCTCTACATTATAAAAACTGGCTTAATACAAGCCTAGGATTTTTTTAGACACACTCGAGTGGAGAAACATTATCCGTAAGAATGCATTTAGAGACACAATTGAAGAGGCACAGAAAAAAGATAGATTTCTCTTACATCTGGGCACAGGGATATAACCTGGATAACAAAATATATAAGAAACTGAGTGTGATGGGCCACACCTATAATCTCAGCACTTGGGAGGATGAGGCAGGAGGATATTAAAAAATTGAAGGCCAAGTTAGGCTACATAGTGAGATCAAAGCCAAACTGAACTACATAGGGAGTGCCTCTACCTCTCTGTCTCTGTCTCTAGCTCTCTCTCTCTTTGTCTCTCACTCTCTGTCTCTATCTGTCTGTCTCTCTCTCTAAGTAATGCATCATTTCCCATTAAAGCGCAATTTTTCCTACAATTCTAAAACAAATATATTTTGCATGTAATGTATAAAATTAAAAATGCATATTTTATGTGGATCTGTTTGCACGTAAATGTCATGCAGGGAATGTCACATCTTTTCACAAAAGTATCCACCTGCAAAAGCTAGCTTTTAGATCATCGGATAAATGCTGGTTACTTGCACGTCGTGCAGGGAGTCAACTATAGGGAAAAGCAAAAATGGCAGGATTTGTATTAAAAAGATGATTCTGGGGCCGGGGATTTAGCTCAGTGGTTTCGCCGCCTGCTACTCAAGTGCAAGTACCTGAGTTCGATCCCCGGTACCAAAAAAAGAAAAAAAAAAAAAAGCTGATTTTGCCCTGCCATGTCTCTTGATCAGTGGGGTAATGGTGCCCCTTAAAATCAGACCTTCCAACCCAAGAAGCCTCCCTTGTCACCCTCCCTCAGCTTGAAGCAGCCAGACAGAGTGATTCTGCATCCTAAGGTGACTGTGATGAAAAATTATTTTGCCCTCATCCTTTGCACAGAAATGTCCTGAGGGGCTGATATCAGGGGAAGATGTCGTTTACGGAATTATTCCCATCAGCCATCCTCCATCATTTCCTTAATCTTTAAGGGTCTATTATTATCATGTGCTATTCTAATTTCCAAACAGTGGCCTCTGTAACACATCTTCTTCTCCTCAGCTCCTATGAGTCAACTTATAGAAAAATTATGTGTGTGTGTGTGTGTGTGTGTGTGTGTGTGTACGTGTGTGTAAAGAAAGTGCAGATGCTGGGCCCCAGTGGGCCAGGTCTGGGTCATTTAGATGATGAAGAAGACAAGAACGTAATGACAGTGACCAGGAAATCCTCTGCCTCCTTTAGAGCCCTTCATGCTCCAAGGGAAGTTTCCCAAGGGGTTTCCCGGTGGGTGTTGTGTCTTCAATGAGGACGAGGGAGGTGAAGCCCTGTCTGAGCAGATGCTTCTTGGTGAGCCATGGAATCACTGTGTAGCAACCATTTAGCCATCTCGCATAATCCATCTCTGGGAAATGTGGCAGTCAGTTTGGCACGGCTGTGACAAAGTGCTTGAGAACAACGACTTAAAAGAGGAGAGACTTATTCTGGCTCATGGTTTCAGAGGTTTCAGTCCTTGGTTGGCTGGCTTCAAGATAGAACATCATGGCGGAAGGGTGTGGTAGAAGAAAGCTGGTTGCATCATGGTGACCAGGAAGCAGAAAGAAAGGGAAACAGCCCAAGAAAAGACTGGCTTCGGCATCCTTTCCTCCCAGCTACAGGACAGGACTCTTCTGGAACAGGGAGGGGAGGGAGGTCTTTCGATCTCCTATCAGACAAAGTAGGTCAAAGAATTTCTTTATGGATGGATTTTACACAAAAAGCAGGGCAATGTTCAAGTAATATTTTCAGATTTTATGGTTGCCTTTGAAGGAAAGGGATTCTGGATTCTATGATGTGCCTCAGGGAGGAGGAACATAGCCTTTGGTGAGCTTGGGCGGGAGGAGGGCAGAGAGAGACCTTGTTTCAGAGGTTACTCCAGATTTGATTTCGCCTTGGCACATTAATTTCTGAGCCCCAGTATGACCAAGGTACTGGGTTCCTATTACAGGCAGGGGTGCAGCGAGTCCCACTGGGGAAGGAGATTTGGTGTTGCCCAGCATCTGAGAAGGCTGAGCTTGCTGATTTGATAGAAGACTGGGTTTAAGATGCTGGAGCACAGGGTAGTAAGGTTCCAACTGCATCACACCTTGAAGGTCCCACAGACTGCATCCCATCACCGCCAACACCTTCCCCAGATTTCGCAGTGTTGGTCACCTTGGTCAGTGCTATGGACCCATTTGCAAGATTTACTGAGGTCAGCAGTGCCCCAAGGACTACTCTGTCTCCTGTCTACTCCAGGGCTTCCATAGGCAAGACTACTGTCCCACTGTCCCCGAACTATCTGTAACAAGATGGACATCTGTAACAAGTTCACTGAACGCCAGCAGAGCAGGTATGAACCAGTCCTGAGCCGTCCTGAGCCTGAGACAGCTTACAACAAACCTCCGGTTCTCCTGAGTCTTCCTCTCACAATAGGCATGGACACTGCATTTCATTGTCCACACAGGACAGGCTGGCTTTCCACCCCCGCCAAAACCATCTGTGTCGTCCTTGCCACTTGGCAACGACGCCCAGGCAGACTCCCGCCCTGTGAAGGACCAGGGGGTGGGGTGTGAAGTGATGTTCCTGCTCCAAGCCCCACGTTAGGAAGGCAAGCAGATTGCCCCTGCTCTTCAGAAGGAACATCTTTGCAAAAGCTAATTGCCCGCCAAACCCTGATGACAACTCCAGGACATAATTTTTTGTCAGATGACACAGAAGATGTAATCGTGCTTTCTGAGCACTGAGTATTTTCTTCTGCCTAAGCAAATCTGAGTAAAAGAAAATCACTTCACATAGTTTCTAGCAAACACCTACTGCTCTAGATAAGGGAGGTTGAAGGAACATTACTGAACCATGGATTCACCGTGTAGCAACCATTCAGCCATTTCGCACAATCCATCTCTGGGAAATGTGGCAGTCAGTTTGGCACAGCTATGAGAAAATGCTTGAGAACAGCAACTTAAAAAAGGAACGACTTATTTTGGCTCATGGTTTCTGAGGTTTCAGTCCTTGGTTGGCTGGCTCCAAGACAGAACATCACGGCGGAAGGGTGTGGTGGAAGAAAGCTGGTCACATCATGGCAGCCAGGAAGCAGAAAGAAAGAGAAATAGCACAAGAAAAGAAATGCCATTCAAAGGTACACCCCAAGTAACTTCTTCCAACTAGACCTCCACTTTCTACTAGCACCTTCAGCCCTGAACCCCACTGAGCATATTAGTTCCTCATTAATTTAATCATTTCAAGTAGCGGAAGAGACCAAGTGCCCAGGACATGAGCCATTGGGCAACATGTCATATTTAAACCATAGCAGGTCACCTCACTTGCCAGAGCAATGAAACAGCACAAGATTTCTAGTGGAAATCTGAGTTTGCACTTCACCATTTAGCCAGATGATGTCCACGGATTCACTGGGAAGATGTCCAGGTGGTATTCATAATATGGATGCCACTGGGCAGTTCCACTTACATGGACTGCCAAAGGATGATGCCCCTGGTGTTGTAGCCATCAGTATCTGGAATATTTCTAGGCAGAAATGTGTTCAAAGACATCTGAGAATATCCCCTTTGAAGGAGGGTTTCATTTCCTTGTCCTGGCCACTTCCTGAGAGATTCCTGAATGAGATTCCACTAAAAGAACAACGCAGCATCAAAGGGAGCATCGGATTTCTTCTCATGTGGAGATTTGACCCCACTTTACACCCTGTGGATAACATCAAACTATTTGCTGTTCTGTCACGGGACCCCATACCTGAAGGGGGAACCTATGACCTCTGAGACATCAGCATAGAATACAAAGTGATTAGCAACTCCAGAGGAACTTTCAACATTCACTAATATGAAACCTCACAAAACAGGGAAGATTCATGGTCGGGAATTCCAGACACTACTCACAGACCCTCTAAGGAATTATATCCCAGGCAACAGAAAATTGCTCCGTGAAAGAAGTCTTCCCACATGTTTTACTAAATTTGCATGAAAATAAACGAGGAGTTTCCTACCTTCACATCGAGTAGTCCTTCTGTAAACCAGATCTCTCTTGGGCAGGTCACTTCGGGAACATGCAGAAAGGACCGGATCTCGCCCTGGGGACTGGCCCTCACCAGATGAGTAGAAGAGTTAGTGTCAGTGTTTCGGGATGTAAACGCTGAGGTCTCAGCTGCAATCATGTGAGAGGTGTGAGCTTTCTGCAAAATCTCTCTGCCCTGCAAATATGAAAACGACATATTTGACCAAGAAGCCATAGCACATATGTTGGAGAAATTTGCTCTCCATAATAAAGGCCAGTTCAAAGGTGACACATACCTCTTCTGGTTTAAGGAATAATCAGTGGAAGAAGTTTGAGACATCAGGCTGCATTTATTGCAGCCATGGAACAAATTATTTGTTTTTCCATTGGGGTTCAAACTTGTGACTCTCCTGGACTGAGGGCAAGTGGCATAAACCTAAGTGCAAACTCTTAGCAGCCTGAATGCTAGGACATCTCAGGGGTAACCTCTTGGGACCTATGCTTGGGATGACAGGGGTTGCTGCTTCTTGATCAATGACTTAGGGAAACAAAGCCCAGGAGAAACAGGTTGAGCTTGCTGAGGATAAAGTGCTAAGATTTTTACCTAGCCAGGCCATAAGTGAGATTCTCCCATGGCAACACCAGAGTCAGCAAAATGAAGCAGCAGGAAATCTATAGCGAGAACCTGAGCTTGCATTTTGCATTTAGCAGTATGGCAGCCATGGATTTACTGGGAAGATATCCAAGAACATCATGGAAACTGTTTGGTTTCCACGCCCTGGTTACCTCCTGGCCTAGCCAAAGGGATCTCCAACAAATATAATTCCAACAAATCCCACATCTAGGAGTTCAAGAATGTTCCAGTTAGACAGAAACTTGCTACAAATCACATCTGTCTTCTTGATTTTTCCCAACAAAAGTGTTTGAGAAGCATCTCTGTTGCTCCTGAGGTGGTACACCCTTGGAGGACTTTCTTCACTTCATGATCTACTTGATGTTTCCAAGATGTACTTCAACCTATGCGCTATGCTAAATGGTTGACACTGTGTGACGTTCTTTCTAAAGGAAAAGGCTGAATCAACAATAAAGACACATTCATATTTTCTTTGATTTCTATCATTATTGTAAGCATAAAGTTGTTTAATTTTTTAAAAATAAATTTGTATCATTGTCCAAATAGAAATCACTCTTAAGCAATGAGAAATCACTGGTGCTCAACTTAGGTGAAATGATATTAAACCAAATGTAGACTATTTAACACAGAATGAATGACAGCCATCTTCTCAGACTGAAAACAAAAGCAAGGAAAATAAAACAAAGGAAACAACAAACCACAAAAACCATCCCAGAATCAATTCTGGGCCATCTTGGCCAATGACTACTATTACAGATTGGAATGGTTGAACTTTAACTGTACTAAGAAGTCACTAAGAGTGAAAAACGAAGTCCTTCGGTAGAGCAGAAGAGTATGAATTGTGTTCTACAATCTGAGTTTCTCCTCTTAATTAGCCTTTTCTAGTCTCGGTTCCTTTCACCAAACTGGTGATCTCTGTCAGACAGATGGTCAGGTGTGGACCTCAACTCAATTGCCATCAAAGTTTGTGTGTCAAGGAACTCAAGTCATGGTAAGCTGATCTCCATGCCTCACCAAAGAAAAAAGTGCAGAGGTGAAAGCATCTTTGGACAAAACACAGACCCATGACTAAGGTTTCCTTCCCCGTGAAATACACTCGTTCCTTGGTATTCATGGAGAACTGGCTCTCAGACTCCCTTCAGAGACCAGAATTCGTAGATGCTCAATTCCCTCTTATAAAATGCTATAGTTTGCATATAAGCTATTCACCTCCTCCCAGAGTTTAACATATCTCTAACTGACTCACAGCGCTTGATACAAGGTAAGTGGTCTGGGACTAGCTGTGATGCTCTGCTGCTTAGGGAATAATGATAGGAATGAGCACATGTATGTTCCGTGCAGACGTTTTATTTTCTGTACTGCAAATTGAACCCAGGGAACATGGAGTAACACCGTCAGGTCTTTCTTTTGTAATTTTATCATGAGACAGGGCTGTACAAGGTTGCCGAAGCTGTCCTTGAACTTAGGGTCCTCCTGCCTCTCGTGAGCTTGGATTGTACATGTGCTCTGCCATGCCTGCTTGCAGTATTCTTTTTTTTTTTTTTTAATTTTATTTTAGGTCCATAGTTGGTTGACTCTGTGGATATGGAAGCCTCAGGTATTTGTATGGCTGGATTTTGTTATTTAGCATATGATGTTATGAAGTATCACGACACAATGTTATAACAGACCATATACAACGTTACAAGAATGTACGATGTGTTATAGAGCAATACGGTGTCTTCCAAAATATGCCTCCCTTTAGCCAAATCAGCAAGGGTTTGACATCACAGACTGACATCCTGCGATTAAAATATGCCACGATAAACCCCTTGTGAGATCTTTGAAAACCCCTCTTATTTCATTTAGTCCTTGGAATCATAGGTGGTCCCTGTCCATTTCCCCACACACCATATTTGAATAATACTGAGAAAGATGGTTTCATGAGTCAGCTTTTCCTAAATACATAGGTGAGGGAAATGGAGTGAAATTGCAAATCAGGGTGTTCCAGTTGCTGGGTGAGTTGTCCCAAAAAAATCCTTGTAGATAAAAATAAAGTTGATAAATAAGCTGCTACCAGTTTGGACATATAGAGACAATAGGATGTAATTGTAATAGATGGCTGTTCCAAAGGCACAAAAGATACATTGAAACAATGAGCTATGATGGGGAAAATATGTATTAATGACCAATGAGATTGCAGAATTAATTGTGGGTGAGACACTATGTTGCTGAAAAGACAAAGCAATGGCCCCGGAGCTTTGACCCCAAACGTGATGCCTGTATGTTTAATAGCCACGTGTCCTTAGAGTCCTTTTCTGATGACATGAAATCCTGCCATGCACATTATTCCCTGTGCTTCGGCCTCTGTTAAAGATGGGCCGAGGCACTGCCAGGGGAAGGATGTGATTAAATCCATGAGTCATGAGGTCAGTGATAAAAATTGATGCTAGATCCCTGCAGGAAGCCAAGAGGACATTTCTGATGGACGAGTTCTCAGCAAAGGTCGACACCCCAGCAGCCGGGGCTGGTTCTCACCAGAAGATGCGGAGTGAAAGGTGCTAATATGGCAGGCTCTGCTGCTCTCAGCTCAAGGTAGGCGGTGCCCCACTTCATACTTTTCAATGCATTAATAAGCATACGTAGTAAAATCAGGGGTGTGCTCCTCTTTTCTTATAGAAAAATGCTGCTGTTCTCACTTTTAAACTTTATATGCTCATCAGTGGAAGGATGGGCCATTCAGGGGCCCTAGAAAATTAACGAGAAAAAGAATTGTGATATTAGATGCGATGATAAAGACGTGTCTTGGTCACTGTCTCCTCGCTGGCACAAACTAGGAGACGCGTGCAACTTGAAGGAGGAGAGGTTTATTTTGGCTCACGGCTTTTACAGGTTTCGGTCCGGTCCGTAGTTGGCTGCCCCAAGGAAGGAAGGGCAGGGTGGACAGGTCCGGAGGAGGACACTGCTCACACTGAGGAAGCCAGGAAGCAGAGAGAGAAGGGAGAAGCCTGGATGGGATCCACCTTTCCAGATGACCTGCTTCCACCCAGGCACACTGTGGCCCATCCCCTCCCAGGAGCCCGGCCTTGGATCACACGAGTCTGACAGGGATGGTCCTCCTCCTAAACCATCACAAGACAGGGCTGAGCCTTTCCCCAACACCCCGATTTGTGTTGGCACTCTTCTCCAAAGATGCTGAGTGTCCCCTCCCCAGACACAGTATCTTTCACCCCAGCTTTGCCAAGTGTCAGCCATGCTTCAAGATGGGTTAGGCAGCTCCTCGTGCATGAAGGGCTTTTCCAGATTAGACGGGCAGACATTTTCAAGGAGTTGCAAGAGTTCCAGGGACTGCAATAAAGTTTTGTGCCAGTTAGAGTTCATTAGAGGACAGATATGATACAACATATGCATAAATGATAGATAGACAGACAGACAGACAGACAGACAGAGGAGCTAGGCTTACAATGGCTGCCTGCACTGCTGCACTGCCAGGGGTGAAAGAGAGCCCAAGGGCCAACTGCACGCTACAGATCTGAAGGATCCAGTCAAAAATCAAGGACGTGGAGCTCACTGCAGAGTCAGGGAGCCAGAAGATCTGAGATGGAAGGCTAAGAGTCTGCACCTGAATCCGGGAGACGACGTCCAAAGGCAATGACAAAGACTGGAGCTCCTCTGAAGAGCAGTGGAAGTGAGACTTCCTTCTTTCCTTCTTTATCACCCCAGGCTACAAGCCCACTCCTCGGCCCACACACTCCCAGGGTGCCTCCTCCGTCTTCAGAAAGTCCATCATCCACACATCCAGAACTTGCCAAACTGATCAACTCGGTGTTTCTTATTCAAGTTGACACCCCAGTTCACTACCACAAGGTTCAAGGCTTTATTCGGCTCTTGTGCACCAGACAGAATTTCTCCATCACAGCTGAGGCCGGCTGAGTGTCTTCCAGATTAAGGGGGAGAAAGGAACAGGGGATTATTAATCCTGATACCTATGTCATTGGAGTAGCCCCTAACAGATTGATAAAGCCTGCTCCTAGGTGTGTCTGGTGGGTGTTGGCGGTGTGGCCTTGGGTAGTATATATGCTCTTTTGCCTGTTTCTCTCTGGCTCACTTCCCTACCATGGTTTCCCAGCCACCAGATCTAAGGAGCTGTATTCCCCCCACACACTTCCACCATGACGTTTCTGCTTTGGAACCGGTCCGCCAGGAGGGAAAGAGTGAACCAAATTGACCCTCTCCTCCTTTCAGCAGTGGGTATTGGGTGTTGTGTGTCAGCAACAAGAAAGCTAACTGCTGCAGAGAATGTGCCTGAGGTTTTCCCTGCTGCAGATATCTTTGTCAGGAGCTACTGCAGACGCACACGCGAAGGTTTTATTTCTTTTTGAATTGCGCCTGACTTTTCACGCCTCTTAGAGAAGGCTGTTGATATAATACTGTAACCGGAGATGTCAGAATGTTTCCTGAGGGCTGCTTCTATAGGATTGCAGCTTGTCAGGGGAGGGAGACATTGCAGATAACGCAGAGGAAGACAGAGAAGTTCAAACGAAATAACTACAAGAGTCAAGGGTCCAGGCAAACAAAGCTTG